ACCGTCAGCCCACTGTCGCCTATCCCTGCGGGTACTGCGGTAGATTTCCTTGCGCTTTTGACGGTATTGCGTGTTAAGATCGGCTCGAACAGTGTCGTTGTGAGTCTCAAGAAGCTTCAGATGAAGTTTTCTCCTGTCCTCGATCAGATCCCATGTGCGTTGCGACATCCAGTCCTCTCGTGAGTGAGTCGTTTTGTGCCCTAAGACGTTGGAGCTGGTCTCTGTGTAGGCCACTTTAATGCGGTTCCACTCCTCGTCCAGTGAGTCTACCGCTGCTTCAAGTGTGGCAAAACGATTGCGCAATTCCAGTTGGAACGATTTTCGCGTCCCTGGGTCATGCAACTTGCTCACCTCGAATCTTCTTCCAACTCTGCCAGGTCCTCTATATGCATGGGCTACCGCAATCTTAAGCCGGATTTCAGCAACAACCAGATGGTGGTCGCTATCAATATCGGCTCCCCTACGGTTGCGGACATCGAGCAAAGACGAACGCCATTTGGAACTTATGGCAATGTGGTCAATCTGGTTCCTTGTGACGCCATCGGGTGATGTCCAGGTGTATTTATGATGATCCCCATGAATAAATAATGTTCCTCCGATAGTTAGGTCGTGGTTCTGGCAAAATTCGATAAAACGCTCACCATTCTCATTACATACCCCAAGTCCCTGTGTGCCCATATGCCGCGTGCGGTTAGTGTTATCGCGGCCAACCTTTGCGTTTAGGTCTCCCATGACGAGTACGATATCTTGCTTCCTTATGGTCTTCATTGTGGCGTTGAGAGCATTATAAAAGTCATCTTTGATATCCTCCTGTGCTGCATTGGTTGGGGCGTAACATTGGACGATCGAGATGTTTCGGGCTCTTGAGGTAAATCGGGCATAGACGATTCGGTCCGAGATCGGTTTCCAGTCCATGAGGCTTTTCTTCGCCGCATTTGAAAGTAGGAGCCCAACACCATGTTCACGTAGATCCTCCTCACTTTCTTTACCCGAATACAGCAAAGTCAAGCCCCCGGGCGTTCTCAATTCCCCGAAACCGTTTCGTCTTACTTCACTCAGTCCGAGTATTTGCAGATTGTAACTGAGCATTTCTGCTTCTGCTTGAGCTAATCGGCAGTCATCGCTGAGCGTTCTTACGTTCCAAAATGCAATTCGTGTCCGTGTTTTAATGCCAAAAGTCGTCGGTAAATGATCGGTCCGGGTTATCTCTGTTTCGGTTTCTGTAATCTTAGGTTGTCGGGCAAGCAGGTGATTAGCCCACTGTGCCTTAATCCGTTAGCGGGGCTGCCGCTTCAGAGCCTACGGATATGCTCGGTTTTGTTTCGGGTTTCCTCCCTAGTGAGCTGATTCTGTTTTAAGGCGCAGAATACTCGCCTTGCGCCCTGCATCCGTTAGCTCAGCTGCAACTCGAGGTGGCGTTCGCGCGGCGGCGCGGTTGCAGCAGGTCCCAGGGAGGACGACGGGGACGTGGATGACGCGGACTGGCTAGGGCTCTGCTTTATACGGTACTTCGCCACGAGTACAGCAGAAGGCATCTTGGCATTTTATAGGCAATGCTGCTCTCACTAACAGCGATTCCCACCACACCTTACCCTAGCTTCCCCCCCCCTTGGATTACAATGGAGAGGTAATAAGTAAAATAATAATACCATGACTGGTTTGATGATTGTTTTTTTTTATTGTATTTCCATATATTTATTTAAAATTCTCTATAAATTACATTTTTAAATACTACTTACAAAAAAAGTAAAAAATAATATTTAAAAAATTTAAAAAAATGTATTTATTGTATTTATTAATTAATTTTTTAATTTAAAATTTCGTTTACTAAGATTCTTTTTTATAAATTTTTTATCTTACACTCAACTACTTAAAAATTTTATTATCTTTTTTATATTAATGTAAGCTAAAAAGCATGCTGTGGTTACCTATAATTGTGAATACAAATAGTCTTAAGGTATTTTTTGAGTCAAAAATAATTAATTGTGAAATATTACTGTATTTTATAAGTAACCCTCGAAATAAATAAATAAATAGATAAATAAATAAATACATGATCTTTTCAAAGTAGTGGCGTCGTGTCTCGTACCTAATGTTAATTTAATTCACATTATTAGCATAATGTAATTCGATCACCTTGTCATAATGTTGCACCGTACCTAGGTACAAAATAGTATCAAGAAGTTCGATTTAAGTGTGTACAAAGGTTTGTTTGAATATATTTTGAAAACTCAGTTAAAAAACTCGACACATTCACCGCGAACATCGGAAAATAGGTATTACCTTTGAGTAACTGGAGCAGGCCTATGCTAGTCCTTATCTTTACTTAATATTATAAATTGGAAAGTGAGTTTGTTTGTTTGTTCCACTTTCACGCCGTAAATACTAAACCGATTGCTTTGAATTTTTGCAGACGTAAAGTTAGAAGTCTGTATTAAATAATAGGGTACTTCTTATCCCGGAAAAATTTGATATTCCCGAGGGAAAACAAAAGTATTGGTATAGATGGCGCTGTGTGTATTGGTATATGTCACATATCCTCTTGTGACGCGAGCGAAGCCGCGGGTAAAAGCTAGTATCTTATAAAATACTTGCTACTTCCGCGCGGTTTCACACGTTCTTTTCAGCTCCTATTGGTCGTAGAGTGATGTTTTATAACTTATAGCCATCCTCAATAAATGCACTATCCAACACAAAAAGAATTATTCAAATCAGACTTGTAATTACGGACATTAGCGCGTCCAAATAAACAAACAAACAAACAAACTCTCCCGCTTTGTAAAATAGTATAATAAGATTATAAAAAAACGTAAACGTACTGGAAATATCACAAAACCTCATTACACACTAACGTAGGTACGAAATAAACTCCATACAAAATTATAAACAAACACTACACTGAAACTACGCAAACATTAATTTGAGTCTAGTTTGGGCCGCTGTCAACTCATAAATGCTGAAGTGTGATTAAAAATGTACGCAAGTAAATGTGTGCTTACCTATGTACTAACAAAACTAACATGGATAGCCAACGGCTCACGCTATATAAAGAAAACAACGCTCTTTACTCTATTCGGTATATAGGTTACAAAATTACACTTTAATTTCTAGATACGTACGTAGCAAAAGGTCACTGATATTTGTTTATTTGTACGTGTTAATAATTTTGCCTATTAACTAAAAATTGTGGGTTACACACGTGAAAATGCCGCGGAGAATCTAACGGGTTATCGGGGCTCAGGCTCGACATGCAGAAGGAACGGGGTGGTTTTTAGTCAGTAAGAGTCTGACACTCCCTCGCGCCTCACCCAGGCGGGAGCAGACATTAGATGATTTTACCCCCTTAAAAAAACATAACATCACGCCTTTATCCCCGAAGGGGTAGGCAGAGATGCACATTATGCCACTGTACAATGTAACACCCACTTTTCACTATTTATGTTATGCTTTATATATAATCCCATAAATTAAATCCCTTAAAAAAACACGTGAAAATATTGAGAAAAGCTCTACTAGTTTCGAATCACAGAGGGGTTCTTCCTCATGCGCAGCGTGCGCGGTTGCGGCGATGTCACGCAGCCTATTGGCTATATCCCGCTATTTTTAGTTAAATTAGTAAGTATGTCTCATGATAGTTATTATAAAAAATTTGCCTATTATTTATATATTTTCCATAGGCCGACGTTTGACTACTATCATTATCCTATTAATATTATAAATGCAAAAGTTTGTATCTATGTTTATTCGTAAGCTGCATCTCCTGTAAGCCAGAACCTACAGTATGATTGATACTTGTATCTTGTACAATGATTATATTTACCTCTATAAATAGTTTTAGTAATAAGTGTTACTGACCATTAGCATTGATAAGAGAATGAAAACCACATCCATAACGCCGTCCTATTTTCGTACCGGAACAGTCTTGAATACTTTATAACTGAACTCATTTTACACTAGCGCTATGGTAATTGGTGGCTCTTTGACATTTATTAATAATAACACCGCGGTTCAACGTAAACGGTTCGCAGGTAAATTGTAGTGTAGGGAAATTAGGCCACGCCTCCTACTTCTATTGGTTTGTCGGCGAATCAAATTATAGTACATTCGGAATGACGTTTTGAAATTAGAACTTAAGAAGAAACTTAAAAAGAACTTAAACCAATTTATTTTTTGTGGAATGGAGCTCATGGAACCTCTATGATGCCCAACCATTGGCTGTCACAGATATCTTTTGTCCTTTATCACTGGTTGTAGTTGAAATGTGACGAATAATTATTAAAACTTCTTGAGATAGAAGTGTGGAATTTTTATTCTAGGTTCGCAGGAGAAGACTCTGATACAAGCCAGTAACAACAGACTATAACTATGGTCAACAGCAGCCAACACCACGTAGGCCCAATTACGCCTAATCTCTCCAATCCCTGAAATCCCAACAATCCTCAAATTCCTAATCCCCAAAAGGCCGATAACGCACTTGGACCATCACGCCATATCCATAGGCGCTGCCAATTGCTTACAATCAGATGACCCGTTAGCTCTTTTACCGACTTATTAAATAAAAAAAAACACATTGACTCAGTTCATTAACCGTTTCCATTTTCAAACATAGCTTCGACATGATAGAACAGCATTTTCGAACGCTATAATTTCACTCTGTACGCATTCTTGTTCTATGCACTTCTTAATTATTTTCAGCTACTTTATATGGCCCAAAGCGCAGTACAGACGTATAGATTTCCATTAAAAACTTTGCGCTTTGTTCCACTCATATAGTTTTTCAATTAATTCTTCTAACCAAGCCAAACTTTATTGCTTCATAGTTACCGCAAAGCTTACTCCAGCTCTTTGTATTTACAAATTGGCTACCCTGTAGAATCTGTGTACTATTCGTTACTGCCTAATAAATTCGGGCTTGTTAAACTAAAATTGTGGAATTTTTTGGTTCGACTTTCATATTTATCCTTTTGGTAATGGAACTGTGGGAATTTCGTTTTTAGTCATCAAAGTCTATTTGATAGATACCATATAAAATAACGTTACATATTTTAATTCGTAGTATACATAATTCGTTATTGCTTTCCACATCTATGAATAAGGTGGTAAACATAATGAGGACTTGTCGGGCAACGATATAACATTTGGAGGAAAAACATTTTGACATGTCATTCGAAGAAAAAAAAATGTAAGTACCTACAGTAAAATCAATAACAAATGCAATACAAGACAAAATTAAGTTAAATTGTAATATCTTAGAGTCAAATAAGTTTTTAAAAAATATACTTAAAAATAAACATATCATATACTTATAAAATTAAATATAACAGCTTATGTATTATGTAAAATTGAATACAAAGTCATAATCATAATATAAAATGAAATGATTATACATACATATAAAATTTAACACTATTTTCATCATTTAGGTATATTGCGAGTCCCATGCAACAGGCATACATAATATGTATTTTAAGCAAATGCTGCATAAACGGTGATAATTCTGTTGACTCTAATTTGTTTTATGAATCACGTCCTTACTTAATGAGCATCTCAAATTTAATTATGCCTCAAACAAAGCAGAACGTAATTATATTCACGAGCTTTTTACAGAGTGTAAGTCAATAAAAACTGAGAGAGGAACGTTAAAAATTCTCGTCTTTTTATGGAAAATGAGAGCGAATGAGCAAACCTGACCATAGACATCTGTAACACCAGAGGGGTCAAATGTGTTATCGATATCCTTATGTCATAGTGTGGTGTCTGTTAAAAGCTCATTAAACGTCTATGGTTAAAAGATTTTTCTTTTTATTATAGCATTTTTAAATCTTGTCCAAGTAAAACCATAACATCACGCCTTTAACCCCAAAGGGGTAGGCAGAGTAGTGCACATTATACCACTGTACAATGGAACACCCACTTTTCACTATTTATGTTATGAGTCACATGTAATAGGGGGTGAGCCTATTGCCATATACCGGGCACAATTCCAGACTCCGTGCTGCTACTGAGATTTTTTTAAAACCCAGTAATACTTTGCCCGACCCGGAAATCGAACCCGAGACCCCTTGCCGCCGGGCACTTGCGATCACTCG